CCACAACCACACGGATACCCAATCACCACCTCCTAACACATCAAACTCACTCACACACAAACACCATTACCTCCACGCACCAATCTCCCTTCACTACCACATCCACCTCCTTCAACCCAAACACATCCTCCCCCACATCCACCACATAAACAACATAAGCCAATATCAACCAAATGCACATAATTTGTTATCAACCGAAAGACACCCCTTTGCACGGGATTACAAGTTATTGAACGTGCATTTGAAACTAGCAGTGATTTCATCAATCAAGAATGTAAAAAAACAAAACATAAAATTGAGATCCAACATCAACCGAAAATCAACACCCATTTTTAAGTCATCGCACATGAGATTCTGAAGAATCCTCAAATTCCAACATCAACCAAAAACCAGTTAACCATAAGCAATTGGCAAATCAAAAATCGCAAAATACTTTAGCACATTAGGCATTAACCAACGAGATGAGGAATCGCCGCACAGAGGTAACTAGCAAATTCTCGGGCATTAAGCCTTTTGCAAATCAAAAGCCACAGATAAGTTGGGGTTGCTCATCACAAAGAAGAACCACATAAAGAACAACTGCAACGAAATTTTCAGTCATATAAGCATTTCCAGAAACAAAAACAATAGCATAGTTAAGGTAAGGATTACGAGCAAGAAGAGGCACCACAGCATAGAGGAACCACCACACAGATAAGAAGGCACCACACAGACAAGAAGGCACCACACAGATAAGAAGGCACCATAGCAAGAAGGATATCCCACCACAACACAGAGGAACCCTATCTGTGAGAATCGCGCTCGTGCGAGAGAGAGAGAGAGAGAGAGAGAGAGAGAGAGAGAGAAAAGAAAACTCACCTTATTCTTGAGAATCGGGTGAAAGAGAGAGGCAACTCTATCAGTAAGAATTGCGTCAGAGAGAGGAGAATTTAGGGCAATTATCGCGTGAGAGAGAGGATCGCGGGAGAGTAGCATACCACTACGGCGAGACGAGAGAACGAACCATGATTGTGAGGAGAGGGGCAATGTGGTCACGAATATAGGAAGGAACGTAGGTCGCGGGGTCATGCCTGCCTCAATCATGCTTTTTTTAAAGGTCTGCGAGTCACCAAACGGCCCCAAGCGCGTTTCCAAGCCTCACCACGGTGCTGTCGCGGTCCGAAACGGTCTTTTGGTGTACTCTTGTTTGGCTTTACAGGCAAGGTCGACTTCGATGGTCAGTTGAGGTTGGCTTGGATGTTTTGCTAGGTGCACTCTTGCTACTTGATCCTAAGATTGAACTCTGCCTGTAAGCTGTGGCAGTCATCTAGTGATGTCTTTTCACTTTTGAAGCTAAGGTTTGACTATCATGTCTATAAGCAACAGGTAGGTACTAGCACTGCATCTTTCGCTTCTTAGACCAGATAATGATCTTGCCTATTCTCACACGTTGACGTAGTTGCTTCAAAAACTCTCACCAAAATAACACTTCTTTAATTTTGTTGAGAATTGGACCTTATTTAGGGTCCTATTGGCAAAAAGGGAATATTGAAGAAGTATAGGGTTTTATTTGTAAAGCATTTTAATATCCTATTCAAGCCCTTGTTATGAATGTGCATATAAGATTTTGAACAATTCTTTCATCATGGTATCAGAGCTTTAACCTAGCCGTTCCTCGATCCCGAGAGTCGGAATCAATGTAGAAACTCGAGGTGTCGTTCCCTCGAAGCAGCAAAATGAGGGAATGATGCCTGCAATGTCACTTTTTCTAGTTAGTCCCTTATCTTAGTCTTCCCCGACTCTTGAGGCACCTACAGCATCGACTTTTGATTCAAAACTCCCAAGTGATATGATTCCTCCTTCTCCAACCCCCAACTTTAAGGAGGACCTCTCGCAGCAATGAGGGACATTCTTCCGATAGTTTTGGGTGGGAACATGGCATTCCTACCTTTGTTTCATATTCTAACATATCACCCCTACATGGAGCATTCATTATATCTTTGAACACTGTCTTTATACCAAGTGTTGACAGGTTGTTAAGGAGAATCCCAAGTGGAAAGCGACAATGCATGAAGAGCTTAGGACTCTCGTTAAAAATCGAACATGGGAGATAGTGTCACTACCAATCGGGAAAAAAACAGTTGAGTACAAGTGGATCTTTACAGTGAAGCAAACTCCAGAAGAAAAGGTGGTGCGGTACAAAACATGATTGGTAGCGAAAAGGTATAGTCAAACATATGACATTGACTATGATGAATTTTTTGCACTAATAGTAAAAGTGAGCACAATGAGGACATTAGTTTCTCTGACAATGAATGATGGGTGGAGGTTACACTTAATATGAAGAATGCATTTCTTCATGGTGAGTTACTGTAGGAGGTATATATGGAGATACTACTAGGATTTGGTGTAATCCAAACACTGGGCAAAGTTTGTAGGCTCGGGAAATCACTGTATAGCTTAAAGCAGTCTCATCGAGCTTGGTTTGACAAGTTTAGAAAGATTATGGTGGGCATATGATATCAGCTGATTAATGAAATCCGTATGGTGTTCTTTCGACAACATAAATGTCACACCACTATACTTGTTGTATATGTTGATGATATTGTTATCACCAATCATGATGAGATAGAGATTGTCCAACTAAAGACAAGATTGGGCAATGAATTTGAGGTAAAGGATTTTAAACGACTTAGATGGTTTCTTGGGATTGAAATAGCTCGTGGACCTGAAGGGATGGTTTTGTCTCAAAGAAAGTGGTGTACTATATTTTTCACGGAAACAGACATGTTGGGGTGCAAACCTACAGTTTCTCCAATTGACCAAATGACCAAGCTGCTTACAGAGGCAGGAGAACCAATTGATCGTGAGAGGTACCAGAGATTAGTTGGTCGTTTGATCTATTTGTGTCACACCCAACCTGACATTACTTTTGCAGTGAGCGTGGTGAGCCGCTATATTCATGATCTAAGAAAAAGTCATATGGATGCAGTGTATCAGATTTTGAGATATCTGAAGAGTGCAGCAGGGAAAAACATTCAGGGCTTTTGTGACGTTGACTGGGTGAGTTGTACCAATGAAAAAAGATCCACCTCAAGATATTGCATGTTTGTAGGGGCAACTTAGTCTCTTGGAAGAGCAATAAATAGTCTGTAGTAGCAAGGTCAACAAAAGAGGCAAAGTACTAAGCCATGACTTAGGAGTTTCCTAGATGATATGACTAAGAGCCTTGTTGGTTGAGCTCAAGGTGGACCAAGGAACTCAAATAAAGTTGTGATCCCACAACAAGTCAGCAATCATCATTGCCAACAACTCGGTGCAGTACAATAAAACCAAAAATGTGGAGATTGATAGATTCTTCATCAAGGACAAGCTGAATAATGGGCTACTGGAGCTAAGCCATGTAGTCACTAAAGAGCAAGTGGCTGACAGCCTCACTAAAGGACTTAGTTCATTTGATTTGTCAAAGTCATATACTTAAAAATCTCATCTTTTGCCCATCTTGAGAGGGAGTATTGAAAATTGGACCTTATTTAGAATCCTATTGGTAAAAAGGGAATATTGAAGAAGCCGTGTGTAAAACATTATAATACCCTATTTAAGCCTATGTTATGAATCTACAAATTGGATTTTTGAACAATTCTTTTATTATTTGCAATGCTTAAATTGTTTATATATTTAATCTTATGTTCCAATGTAAATGCATGGGATGAGCTGTCATCAAGCTTCAGAATTCAAAAGATAAAGGTCTGATCTCTTGGTAAACTGATTCTTTTCACAAGTACATGACCTTCAAAATACAAGGTTTACCATTCTCCAACTTATTTGACTGTCATTGAACATCAGGTCTGTAACGTGATTCATTTTGATAACATAGGTTTATCATGAGGCATTTTTATCAAGTAGTAACTATGAAAACTTACGTATTTACATGTAACTTCTAGAGTAACATTCTTCAACCATATGGTATTCTATGCAAAATCACATGAACTCGTAAATAGCACAATTTGATATATTCATTTTTCACAACAGCTCATTGGTCATATGGATTCTAGTATTTGGGTGTCCATATTAACCTATTTGTCTACCATGATCACCTGATGAAATTTGTCAACACCTAAGTATTTACTCAGTTAACCATATTCATATTTCGTTCAATAGGGTTCTTATAAGCAATCAATGTAGCAAACATAACTGTGGTTAGGATAAAATTAATGCTAAAAAGATTACAAATGTGCAAACCATATATTATGTTCAAGGAGCTTGTAATAATGCATCATTATTCCAAAACATACTAACATACTAGCATTTAGAATCAGTACAAATTATTTTAATTCACTTAATTATCAGTGCAATGATATAAGTTGTATTAAATTGCTAAAACAAAATCAATGGAGCTTGGGAAGCTTTATTGTGCAGAGTAGCCAAGCAGGTGGAAACAGGCTACAAGGTGGCGATTTAAATTGTAAGAGAAGCTCAAAATACTAATCAATTTCTTAATGGTCATTCGTTGCCCTACATCACCAATTTTATTCAGAAAGCTCTCTTTTCTCCCATCCATGCCAAGTTACTTATGAGGTTGCTAGATAACATAATCAGTTGGGATGAAAAAATGTCTCTTAATATGCTGTGGCTACAGAAAAAATATTTTGGCTTCAATATTCACAGTAGGTACCATCAAGGGCATCTGGGTAAAATTCTCTTTGAACGTCACTCTACTTAGTTCTCAAGCTTATAATGCCGATACTCGAATTTTGGAAGGCAAAATTAAAAAAAACTGACTGCCTGTGACATGTTCAAATTTATCTATGTGCAATTAAATATGTTTGGCTCTTGTTTTTTGGAGTCTATAACACTTTATCATTAAGAGAAACCGGATTAGAACCCATATTATCACTACCTATCTATTTATCTAATTGTAAGTTCTTATTTTTCCTATTATAGCTCCTATTTGGAACCTTTTGATGTTTACCCATAAAGTTGCATTATAATTTTTGAATTGAACTTCTCTCCTCCATCAGGTTGATGACAACCAGATTGTTGTACGGGATGCTAATGGAAATTTTGTTGAGACTCAAGTTATTGAGATGGACAATACTACAAAGGAAATAAGAAATTTTTATGTCAAAGCATACCTTGGAGAACAACCAAAAGATTCTCCAAAGTTCTGGCTTGTTTTTAAAGTACTTGTGCCACCATTGGGATGGAATACTTATTATATTTCAAAAGCAACCAGGAAAGGTGGATTTCATGTTACATCAATTTAAATTTTAGATTTTCTACTGAACATCATAGATGTCTCTGATTTTTTTTTATTCCAATTATCAATTGGTTTTCTTAATTTCTTACTTCACAGAAGGAAACAATTCAAATTGTTTTACCTCAACTATATCAGCTCCTGATAATGAAACAGTGGAGATAGGACCTGGGTCTCTTAAAATTGCCTTCTCGCCGACTACTGGGAAGCTAGAAAGAATGGTGAATTATAGAACAGGAGTGAGTGGTTTTATATAATGTTGAGTGGCTTTTCCTTATAGGTTGTATCCGACGTTGAGTGGTGCTTCAGCTGTATCTCCATCCTCGACCTTCCCACACTCCCGCAACCCTCCCGCCGCCGTTGTATTTGCTGCAACCACCAGAGAACAGCCACATTACTGTTTTTCAGCAGCTGTCCACCTCCTCTACTCCCCTCCCAAACTGTTGTCCACTTGCCAACCTTGCTGCTGCACCCTCCTGCAAGCGCCCACTTGCTGTCCAGCCAGCACCACCCAATTCCGAGTTGCTGGTGGCCCCTCCACTGCCTACAGCTTGCTTCCCAGCCACCCAAACACCTTCCCCCTCACTGTCTTTAAGCCTTTCTACCACCCCATCCTTGTTTTCCACTACCTCGACACATAGTCCACCACCGTCGATTCTTGCCCTTCGGTATCTTTTGTGTTTGCGTCCTTGTTTTCTTATTTCAAGAGACTTTGCTTGTAATCCCTTTTGAATTTCAGCAATAATATATGCATTTCTATTGTGATTTGGGTTAACTCCAGTATCAAATTATGCAACTCTTCTTCTTTAATGGTCCTATGCAATTTTATCAATTGAGAAAGAAAGCGCATGAATAAGATGTCAAGCTATGTTTATTGGTATTCTTACATGTCTTTTTCAAGCTCAACCTCTTCTTCGTTTCTTTGTGTAAAACCGTAATTCCCAACTTTAACGGTTTGGATTTTGAAATACTTTTGGAAAAATTTTATTGTAAATGTATGTATTTCTGGTTAAGAAGAAATCACTTACAAGTTTTGGATTGCACAGTCTCTTAGAGCAATTAGTTTTAATACCCAGGTTGATCTGTACGTGCAACAAAATTATCTCTGGTATGGTTCTAGTCCGGGTGACAAGGAAGATTCACAGGTACATAACCGCGTTTTACTATCATACTTATAGTGCCGAAGTATATAAAATGTATGAACTACTGTTTTTCTAGGCATCTCATGCTTACATTTTCCGGCCTGATGGAAGTCCTCCTACAGCTGCTTCAGGATTGGTATTTTAATGCAAAGGGCATTCTCATTGTCAGCAAAATCCCTTTTCTAAAATGGCTCTATGTGGTGATTGATAAAACTTTTTCTGTATTGTTTTTATGAATAAAGGTATCTATGAAAATCGTAAGAGGGCCTTTAGTAGATGAAGTCCATCAACAATTTAACTCGTGGATAAATCAGGTAATTCTAATGTACTCAAGTAATGTGGTGAAGCACAAATAGTTGCATGTGTTTCTCTGTTAGAGTTCATGCCGTAAAGAAATACTTCATTAGAATTGATACCAAGTTATTTATTTGCATTATTGTCCGAGTGATTCTCATAATTACACTAATACTTTTAAACTATAGTATCTTAGAAAACAAGTACACCGTAGTAACCTGTGCACATGCACCTTTTATGTGTTATAATAATTTACAATTGGCCTCATATTTTGACACAACTGTGGAATTTTCAACAAAATACTTGAAATTCATTTCATTTATTTGCATTTTGGTTCAATATAAAACCATGTGCAGCGCAATGCTATTTCAAATGTAAGGTTTTACATTTCAGTCTGCAACCAATAATTTGAATGTTATTTCATGCAAATAACTGATATTTACAAACTCTTGAACAGTTTCTTAGTATTAGTTCGGAAGGCATAAGTCTTTCAATTATCGTTGCGAAGGAAATTCCTAGGATTTTAGTTGATGACATGTAACATCAAAGTTCGGATATTTAATAGTCTATATTTTGCATGGAGTGAAGCATCCCAGGATAATGTAACCCCTTGGAAATCCACTTAAATTTAGTAGAGCAATGATTAGATTACCTCCATTGTGATTTGGAGGTCATAGGTGTTGACCTCGATACATCTTTCACGAGCCAAATTTAGTAGAGAAGAGTTGGATTAGAAGAGCACAGGTTCTGTTATCAATTTTGTTTTTACTGAAGCGGGATGCATTACATCAGTGGTAACCCTCCTGAAAAGGAAATCCACTTAACAAGAAACGAAAGATCATCTCCTAACGATTTTATCATGGATAGAAAGACATTAAAGGAAAAAAACTGGCATTCTTATGGTTGATCGCTTTTATATTCCCATACAAGCTAATTTTTTATACTCAAGGCATTATACCTATGATCTGCCAGTTCTTCTCATTCCCTTAGAATGCATTTATAAATTGTGAAATTTAGGAGGAACTTTGTTAGAGGAAAAATCTCTCTAGTTTTCTCACTAAGAAAATAACACATTTATATAGCTCAGACTAACCATCGTACAATTGGAGGGAAATTCAAATCATCATAATAAAAAAGAAATAAATAAAAACACGGTAATGGATAATTAATGGAGAATGATTTCTCCCTGTCAAATATAATAGCAGATCCATGGTTTCCAAAAGGAAAATTCAAATCATCATAATAAAAAGGAACTAAATAAAAGCACAATGATGGATAATTAAGGGAGAATAATTTCTCTCCCTCAAATATAATAGCAGACCCATGGTTTCCAAAATCATGTGTGGCCGGTCCACGGTTATATGCATATTAACACTTTCCCTCAAGTTGGGTTGTATATTTCTGTCGGCCGTTTTATATGTATATTTTTTTTTTAACTTCGTTGGTTTGAAAAAATGAATGATTTTGTGATTTTGAAAATAATTTAAATATAAATATAACATTTTTTTATTTTTAAAAGTAACATTTTAATTTTAAAATAGGTGAGACCAAACGGATCTCACATTTAAGTAATTTAGATGATTGAATACAATACTACGGGTAATACACTTATCCCGAAGAATAAATATATCACTTGTAATAGAGATTCAATCACCTAAACTAAAGAATTTGTGACATTCATATTGGTCTGCGAAATATTTTATAAAAATGCCAACAAGTTCCCCTACCTAACATAAAAAATTAGATAGGGTTTATTTTATCTGGGTTCCTGGTTCCCTATAGAGGCAAGCCCCTATAGTTAATTACATCTTAAATGATCGAAATCACTTAAGAAAACTCTCGATTAAGATCAGGTGGTTTGTTTTCAAGATTTCAAAGTTTAGGTTTTCACGATTGGACATGGAATAATCAAAATGGAATGGCTCAAAGTAGGAACGATTATTTAAGAAATCCAAAGATAAGAAAAGTAGGAGACATCACAGATCCAGGAGAAACCCCATAGATGTCCCAACTATCCTATTGTTCGGCTTTATGTCTTTGAAATAATGTTTATTTGATATTTCAATCCTGCAAATTATTTAGGATTTAGGACTTATGTTACCGTACCGTACGGTAACCTCGGAATCCTAAAACGTTAGGACTTATAATTGTACAACAGAGTTGTACAGAAAGCCTAAAGAGTGATCCTATAGGTTGTTATTTAAACTAAGGAAAGTATATAGTGTTGTGAGAATGTTCATGTGATGTGAAGATGTTTCATTGCTGCAGATTCGTCTTGAAGTTATCCCTTGTCGTGCTGCCCACGATGTTTGCTCGGAGCCTCTCGTAGTAGCAACTCCTGGTTCAGTTTTAGTTTTGAAAATACGTTTACCCACTAGATTATCCTAATCTAAGGCATAATGTATCACAGTAACTAAGCATGCAGTATAATAGAAAAGAACCGTATAGTGTACAGTAGAAAGAAAAGAAAGCATGCTGAGAAAAACAGTATAATAAGCTATGAAAACAATATAACATGCTGCGAAAATAAAATGTTGTAATATAAATTAAACCTATACACCTGGTAGGTCCATTGCTCCTTTTAATTTAGTTATTATGTGCTGCATAAAAGAGGGAAGTACGACCTGAAAAAGACTTAATAGAAAAAGGTAAATCATAGAGAAAAGATAAACAAATAAAATGAACCATACCACATATAAAGGACCAAAATTGAGAAATTTATATGTGGTATTGGAATGTCCCCAATTGCCATGAGGATTTGAGTGTGAGACAAACTCAAATCCCGGAGCATTGGGTTTCAGTTTTGGTCAAGTTAAGGTAAGAATTTCATTATTTGATTTAATTAAATCAGTCACGAGTCACAATCTAGTGCAACCTCATGCCTAGTGTCCCACCTATCTTCTAATCTGAGGTTAGATGTTTGGATTTCTTAGGATCATTTGAAAATTAGGATGATAAACTATCTCTCAAGGTTGTACTTCTAAAATCTAGGATGTCTGCACTTTGAGTTAAACTTGAAGTGTCCTAAGGTGTCTAATCTCAATTAAGTGTCTTTCTACTAACCCTCAAACATCTATAGATCCAACTTAACTCGCTACCAGACTCCTAAAACCTAGGGGAAAACTCATAGTTTTGGCAAAAGAGTTGTGAGTTGTGTTTCAATCCTAGTTAAAGGGATTGGATTTTAAATTGATTCAAAGCTTAAAGGATCTAAGAGTAAGTACACTAATCTCTCAATCGTTAGCTAAATTCTCATTTCTTCTGATTCCAACTAGTCTTCCAATTTGCAATTTATTTTTCCTTATGTAAAAGAAAAGGTGGATTGTTCGCTATCCTATCTCCTCTTTAGATTGTATCATCCCAAAAATTCAAATTTCAATTTCAATTCTCTCATCTTCTCTTTCCCTCCTATTTTCCTTGAGATTATAAATCATTTCTGAATATAATTAAATCGGAAATCCCCATTTTTAACTTGACCGTTAAAAAAAAAAAAACAAACGAAAATGAGACCGATTCATTTTTAAAACCAAATTAAATCAGTAAAACTCGCAAATGTTTCGGTCTAAAGCATTTAAATTCGTTAAAAGAAAAAAAAAAGATCGGATCAATCCCAAGAAGGATATCCTTTCCACGTAGCGCTTTTTATGGATCTCCAAACCCAACATGATTTCAATTTATATCAAACTCAAAATGAAACTTCAAGAACTTTCTACATTTTATAAAATATAGGAGAACAATCCATAGGGAGTATCCTTCTGTACCTCTAAAAATCATACCATTATCAAAG